CATTTCAGTAATTAGCACCATTCCTACCCCAATTCCAACTTCAATAGGAATCCGAAATCTAACACCCCTCAATCCATATGGTTTAGTAAACAACTTCAATAGGAATCCAGAATCTAATTCTTCTCAATTCAATTTCTCCTAATCCAATTACGGATTAGTAAACATGTCATTAGTTGCTTTTATGTTTTATTTTCATCGTATAGGCATTTGAAATTGACGGACCAAAACACTTTTCTGTAGCATTTAATTTGTATTTTCCATTTAAATCTATTAAAATGTATGATTGGATTAGGTTTTTGACGAGAATTACTTCATATTTGAATTGTTTTCCACTATTAAAATCGATATTCTAGTTTCATCCAATTTAATTCAATATCAATTCATTCAAATTGGATTGGGTCGTGTTCTAAACTCTGAGACCATGCTGGGTTGGATTACAAAGTAATCTAATTTACACCCGTTTTGTGAGTTGGATAATGTGGTTTTTTGTTGTTGCCAATAGTTAGGGAGGGAGAGGAGAGGGGTGCAAACTCACACACACTTTATAATGCCAACCTCGAATTTAGGATTAGTAGGGTGGAGATGAAACTCCTTACCACTATACTAGTGGGGCACCGACAGTGACAGGATTCATAATCCTAATCAAATGGTTGGTTGCCTAAAAACAACATGGATTGGATTATGTCTAATCCTACTAGGGCCAGATATAGTACGAATATGAATCCTACCAAAAGGTTGGGATTAAGTTGTCCTACTAAGCCATGTAATAGCACATTTCAACTAATCCAACCCCTTAATTATGTGTGGTATCAAACACATCATTGGATTTATTTTAATCCAATGTAATCCAATTCTACCTCACAATTCAATCCAATTTCAATCACCAAACATTACCATGAGAATTGAACTCTATGAGATTTAATCTCTTGTTGTTCCACAGTAGCTCAGTGATAAAGCGGTCGGTTGTTAACTAACTGGTCGTAGGTTCGAATCCTACTTGGGGAGATTTGATTTATTTCGAATTTAATTGGATTTGATTGGTTAAAGGTATTTTTGTATAGGAAAAAGCTTGGCTCCTTAAAACTGAGAAATTCCTTCTTCTTTTTTATAACTTTAATAAGTGTCAAAATCTCATTTGTTATGAGGATGTGCTTCTCCTCAATTTTAAGGAGCCAAACCATGCTCAGTTGTGTGTGTATTTTGGTTGTTTGCATATATGAGCTTTGATTTATTTATTTTTTTTTGGGATTTTTGTAGAGATGTCACATGAACTTATACCTCAGTTTCAATTTGTCACCTTAAAGAAAAATTTAAGAGAAATGTCATCTTAATTTTGCAAAATCCATGATTTGTTATCTGACTTTAACACCATCCAATTTTCCATCAAATTTTAAGTGTATTTTAGTCTTTCCATTTTCAGGGGTATTTTAAAAATGGAAAAATCATTATAAAAAATGTATATCTTTAAAACAATTAAAATTGAAAAAATTCTCTCACCTTCCCAAATCCCCTGCGCGCCACTGGCGGCTCCAACCAACCCTGCTCACCTTGAAATCCATTCCCGCTTCCCACTTCACAGCCCCTTTTGTCTTCATCTTCCTCATTCTCTCTCGACCATTGAACACCTACCCTCCACACATAAATTCCCTCAGTCCATGCAAACCGAGTCCACCTTTTTCTTCTTTTTTTTCTTTTTGGTATTTTTCCATTTGCATATTGAAAATTTGTGGAAGGACAATTGCCAAACCAACAATTCAATATCATATGTAACATATGGTGACCAAGCAAACTTTAGATCATTCAATAGAAATACAGTGGTGTAAGTTAATGAAACTATGAAGACAAGAAAATGGTTGGATTTTGGGTGGGAAGCTTAAGTAGTTTTAAATTAGGTATTTGAAAATTTCAGACATGCTCAATGAACATCATAAAAAATATATACATGATCAGAGAGAGAGAGACAGAGAGACATAGGGAGGGAGAAGAGGGGGAGGGGGGTTCCTGTGGGATGTGTTTTGGGGGTGGGTGGGGAGAAAGGGAGAGAGAGAGGTCTCTTTTGTCTCTCTTTTTTTCCTTGAAAATGGAAAGACTAAAATACCCTTAAAAATAGATGGAAAATTGAATGGTGTTAAAGTCAGATAACAAATAATGGATTTTGATAAATTAAGATGACATTTCTCTTAAAATTTTCTCTTAAGTTCAGTTGACATTTCTACCAGGGTAAAAATCCTAAAGAAAGTTACCATATGAGCTTTGATTTGAATCCTAATTAGCAGCTGCAAAAAATTGAATCCAAAACTAGATCAAACAAGTTCAAACTCACAGATGTCAAAAGCTCAAACAAAAGCCCAAGTCAGATCTAAGAAATCCTATGTCTTTACTGAAGAAGCCCAAACCTTCTTCTGAGACGTGTTCAGAATCTACTGACCAAGCCCAAGTACAGAATCTACTTCACGTCGTACAAAACATGTTCCTCATAAACCTCCAAACATGATGTCGTTAGGGTTTAGGCAGTTAAACGACGTTGTTCTGTTCCCAATCCCAGAGCAAAGCAAAGCAAAGTATGAGCAAAATTTCCCCGCCCTACTAGTTCCTTTCCCCAACTCCAAGTCTCCACTGATTTAAAATTCTTCAAATCATCGAACACTTTCTCTCATTTTCTCGGGCAAATTCTGCAACCTTCTTGTAAGCTTTCTCTCCCGCCTTTCCAATGAACGAACACAGCGTTGATGAAACAAACAATGCACAAGAACAGGAGGAACATAAAGTAGAAGATCCGGAGCTGCGTAGGCTTCTTGTACCGAACCCAGAAGACCTTCCTCTCACTCCTCCCTCTTCCGTTGAAGCCAACTTCGTCTCCTATTTCGCTCCAGGTTCTTCCTCATGTATTTATTCAATTTCACAAATATGAAAACAGCACAATTGTTTTTCTAAACCCAAGCTCTCTGTTTGGTTTCCAGATTTTATGAAGCCAGGACACGACCAATACATTTATCGCCACGCCAATGGGTAAAAAATCCACCCTTTCTCTTTGTGTTTCGTATGCGCATTTGTTAATTATCTTTTTTTTGTTTGGTTCTGTGAAGTTTGATTGTTTTTGAATTGTAATTTTGTATGCAAGGTTGTGTGTGATTGGATTGGCTCCAACCCATGTGGCATTTAAGGACGAAGGGGGAATCACTGCCGTTGATTTCAATGTTGGGAAATCTGATCGCAGTGGGATTAAGGTTACTGGAAAGCGCAAGAAGGTATCTTTTATTTCTCTCTCTCTCTCTCTCTCTCGCAGATAATAGATTGTAGAATTAAGAAGATAAAAATATCAGAATAATTTTATGTATTGTTCTTTTTTTCTTTTAGAATTCTGTACTTGGTCAGTAGATTCTGGAGTCTTGTTGTGCCATAGTGCCAATTCTTATACTGTGGTTTTGTAATCTAGGAAAAATGTTATTATGCAGAATGCACAACACTTGGAGTCCAACTCAGCCTTGTGTAAAGTTTGCAGCAAGGATGCTACTTATATTGTGAGGTAGAGATTTTTTTTTTCAATGCCTTCATCGTCTTCCCCAGTTTTCATTATTTTGCATGCAGCTCCTTTCCATATATGAGGTTTGAAGTTGTAGTTGCTTTTGGCAGGTGTTGTGTAAAAGGATCACTTTTGGAAGTGAATGATAGATTAATCAAGCAGCCAGAATTGCTTAATTCAGCAGTAAGAATCATTAATACCCTTGCATTATCAGCTGTCAGATTTTCTGTGATATTAATCATCATTCTTTGAATCATTATGTTTAAATGAAATCAATGTAGGTAGGATTGAGCACGCTTCTTCTCGTGTATTTGATGTCAATAACTGCAGCATTTGGATTTCCATATCCCTGTATAGGAAATAGCATCATTTAGTGTCTAAAATGAGGAGAAATACTACAAAGATACACATTCAGGGCAGAGAGAGAGAGAGAGAGAGAGAGAGAGATTTGGGGGAGGGGGGGTGGTTAAGGGTCTCTTTGATAGCTACATTGGATGGACATTGCACCAATGCCACTCCTTAGAACTTCATCATTTGTGTTTGAACATACTTCGTGTAGCTTTTATATGATCTGAGTCGAGGCATATGTCGTGAAGGTATTTGAAGGTTTGAGATGGCCAATTGTATTGGGATGGCTTTTGAAAGCTATGATTTAATTGAGAGTGGAATTGGCAGTAGTGACGGTGTAGGAGTAGAATTCCTAAGTAATTTGGACTTGTGGGATGGAAACAAGCTTCTTCCCTTACACGTGCTTGAGTTTTACATGCTTCTTCCCTCAAGGCTTCAGGGCCATCACATATATTAATTTGGGTCTTCTTCTTTATGCTTTTTGAAAGTGGTTTTAGTTCTTTACACTACTTCTTCCGTTTATAGCTTGGTTGCTCATTGTTCATAGTTATTCCCCTTCTTTCCAGGCAGATAGAGAAGGATATATTGCCATTATCATGCCAAAACCAGCAGATTGGCTCAAAGTCAAAGATTCACTTTTGGGTCTTGAAGAGTACAAAAAACTGAGGGAAGTTTGATGTTGAGTTTGCAAACTGTGCTCTTTCATCACTGACCCTGGATGAAGAAGAGAAAACATTGCTGTCTCATCATGGTGCATACAAGATTGCTCATCATTTGTTCCATGCCATATTACTCGCCGGTGGCAAAGCTTCATGTGGTATTGCTTTTGAGAGTTACAAATCCTAGAAAATAGTACATTTTATTCCCCTGTTTCTGTATCATGTAAACCGATTTACTTAACTTATTCAGAAAATAAAATGGTTGATTAAAGAAAAATGCAGTACATTCTTTGCATTGTTCTGATAAAAATGTATTGAAATTTGATGGCCCTGGTGAGATAATTGGTTATTTTATTACAACTTAGTTGCAAAACTAAGGGTCCATGTAGTAAAGGATAGGCCTATCTAATTTCAAAACATTTATTTTGCCCTTTATTTAAATTTCTAAAATGCAAAACGGAAAAAGTGGCTGCCATGATAACAAACAAGTCCTTTGAATTGAAATTCAGTCTAGCCATCCATAAAACAACATACTAAGAATAGAAAGGAAACCACACACTAAAGTAATCAAATTTCTACTTTGAATACTTGATGTAACCGACAGAAGTATTCACTTCCTTTATGAGAGTCCCAAGCACTGGAGCCAACAAACACTTGGAGCTATCTTCCCTGTAAAAGAACCCTAAACACTTGCAGTCCTTATCACACTTGGCCCTGCACTCTCCGACCTTCATCGGGCCATCTCCACCGTCCAAATAAGGACTCAAAAAGTGCTCAACGCTCCCAATCTTGTAGTAGTCCACTTTAGCTCCACTCTTACACTGCCCCAACTTTGGAGGTGTACAGCCCTTGCTCCAACCCAGAAGCCCTTTCGGGGTAGGGCACCCCACACACATGCCCCTACTACAATACCCATATGACCCACATTTTGATGGCAATGCACATTCTCTAACGAAATAGCTTGAAAAGAATGAGAAGCTCTCTTCCCATGTATTGGAACTCACTTTGTCATAGTAAGTATAGGCCTTGAGACTGCCATCGGACCCAAGCCTTAACAATGAGTATGTAGCATTGTAGTTGAGTTTGTTAAGGTTGATTCGTTGTCCACTGCCAATGGGACGGACTTGTAGGAGGTGCCTATGGCTTTGTGGTGGAGGAGGCGGCACATTAACGTCTTGGTTTACAGCGAGCACTAGCTCATAATAAATGGAATCATCGAAGCCATTCGCAAGGTCGAGATCAAAGGTCACGATACTTCCATAGTCGCTGCCTGTCCACCCCCCATACACAAGAAGTTTTCCACTGTTGTTCAAGTACATAGTGAAACCTTTGTGGTCAAGAACAAGGCTGTATGGCCCGTCAGAGCCATCGGCATCAGATTTTCGACTAACAAGCTTGTTACGGCCATTAGTTTTGACTGACTGCCCCAGCAGAAGAGTATCAGTAGGGTAATCAAAGCTCTGCCATATGAATCTTCCATTCTTGTCATGAAGAACCAAGTTACCGTTTCCCAGTAACTTGATGCCTGTGACACCTTTGTTGGCTGTGTTTGTTTGCCAAACAACAGTCCCATCTGCCTCTCCGAGGACCAAGTTTCCGTCTCTGCCGAAAGAGAGAGTGGCCTTCTCGTGCACTGGGTGGTTCCGGTTTGCGTCCCAGACCCACCGCATGAGGCCTAAGTCGTTTGGAACTCCGACTCTAATGGCGAATACGTAGGAATCTGGGGTGGTGTTGTAGAAGCATAGCCTGAAAGGGTATCTATAGAAGGTGTATGCATTGGTTTGGATCACACGGTAAGTAGAATGGTATTCAACGATTCCGTCTTCAAATTCGCCTTGGTTGATGAACTTGAACGTCTGGTTTGCTGGGACTTGGGATTGAATGGGAATGACAAAGAAGATGGCAAGGAGGGAGAAGAGTAGTAGGAGAAAAGGTGAATGTGGAATTATAGCTGCCATTTTGTGATACTTTCTGCTAGTTCTTGTGGGGGAATATATAAGAAAATAGTCGGAACATTAGCAACAATGTTAGAATCACCAAATTTGCTCAGTAAAAATGATACGTCAGCTCGTAAAAATGTGGCAGTATTTTGTTGAAAATTAATAAATGAGATTCATAGTGAACTAAAATCTGAATTACAAGTCAACAAAAGAGGATTGAGGGTGAGCTTGAGGAAACTAGACAACTATGGTTTTGATGCAGGACCATCTTATCCATTATTCAGCCTGATAGCCATCCAACCACTATTGTATATCCACTAGCAAGAAGTTGTAGCTTTTGTCTGCTGAGTCAAAGGAAACTAGCTGTATCCTAGCATTTTACAACCCCTACCCTTCTCACCAAGACACCTCCAACTCCCTAAAACTATTCGTACATTCTCAAACTGACCATTTTCTGTGTGCATCTTTTTTAATTAGAATGTGTAAGTGATGAAACACAAACATGCACAATAAATCTCAGCTTTATTAGGCAGATAATATAGAATAATACACAAACATTGAAGATGGCAGAAAGCAGAGACATATTATAAGTGATTTGTCTACAACTTGGTGGGTAGGTAGATATCTCAGAGAATCCATTGAATGACAATGAGGATATGGAAGAAAATGGTTCACTCAATGAGCAATAGGGTAGTCGTTGCTTGCTGTCATGTTTGGCCCAATATGGCATTAGGTAGCTGAGTCATTCATCCCCAAGTTGCTGCATATTAAATGACATCAGTTGGGTTCGTCCAGAAATGTTAATTACAATGTAGTCATGGCTAATTGCAATTTTTATGCTTAGATCCATTGCTTAATCATAGATTAATGTTAAGACACATTAGCTGCACAAGGAATGATAAAATGACTACAAGTGCTAGTGGATTAGACTGACAAAAATGTTTCTGATTTCGTCGACCCTTTACAGGTGCTAGTGGATTCAAATGGTGTTTTTTTTTACACAAGCGATGTTAGGGAGGGAGAAACGAACCAAGAACCTTGAATACATGGATAAATACTCTTAATCACTTGAGCTACATACCGTTTGCTTGTTTTTGACTAACTTTCTGTCATTTAGGTGACTGCACAGATCAGAATGCTCTGCTTCAGAGTGCAAGATTCGTCAAAGTTGGCGTCTAGGCTAGTCTATCGCTTACAACGAAAAGATATTGAACATCCCTTTGTGATCAAAATCCAAATCTGATAAATCAAAAGAGAAGGAGTTCTGGGTTCAATGACTATATTAGCCCTCATTGTTCAATATAAGTAAACGCTTGCCCAAGCTCTAAAACATAAATCACTCTCCAAAAACGTCTTCCCCTGCATTAAGACAACCATGTCCCTGCCCTTCATATTCCTTGTTTCACTCTTTGCTTTCATTGCTCAAGCCCAAGTTCCAGCAAATGAAACTTTCAAATATGTCAATGAAGGAGAATTTGGGCAATACATTATAGAATATGATGGAAACTATCGTCCGCTCGATCCTTTTGCCTCCCCATTTCAACTTGCTTTCTACAACACCACCCCCAACGCCTACACTCTTGCTGTGCGCATGGGTTTGAGGCGTTCGGAATCACTCATCCGTTGGGTTTGGGAGGCCAACCGGGGGAACCCGGTCGGCGAAAACGCCACCTTCACATTCGGGACCGATGGAAACCTTGTCTTGGCCAATGCCGATGGTCGAGTGGCTTGGCAAACCAACACCCGCAACAAAGGTGTGGTAGGCTTCAAGTTGCTATCAAATGGCAACATGGTGCTTTACAACTCAAAGGGTAACTTTGTTTGGCAAAGTTTTCACTACCCAACAGACACTTTGCTGGTAGGCCAATCTCTACGAGTTGGGGGCGTAACCAAGCTAGTGAGCCGGGCTTCAGAGACCGAAAACAAAGATGGATCTTATAGCTTCGTGATGGAGCCAAAACGTTTGGCTTTGTACTACAAGAGCAAGAACTCCCCAAAGCCAATAGTCTACTTCACAACTTCAAAATTGATAGATGTTGGCAACGGCTCATTGGAACATGTGACATTGAATTCTTACCCGGAAAATAGTGCGGATTCTGCTTATGACTTAGCCTTGTTGTATGAACCGGGCAACTCTATCTCAGGTTTTAATCTCGTTCTAGCTAGACCCAAATACAACAGCACATCATCATTCCTCAGGCTTGAAATTGATGGAAATTTGAAGCTTTACACTTACTATGATAAGGTGAGGTATGGTGCATGGGAGGTGCCCTTCACTCTTTTTGATAAAGATTCAATATTTGAAGTTGGGTGCCAATTGCCGGAGCGATGCGGGAGCTTTGGCCTTTGCGAGGACAACCAATGCGTCGGTTGCCCTACGCCTAAGGGAGTAGTGGCGTGGAGTGAGAGTTGTGAGGCTGAGAAGCTAACTTCTTGCGGGCCAAAGAGCTTCCGCTACTACAAAGTTGAAGGGGTTGATCATTTCTCGAGCAAGTACAATGAGGGAGATGCCATCAAGGAGAGTGATTGTGGTAAGAAGTGTACTTTGGATTGCAAGTGTCTGGGATACTTTTACAACGGAGATACGTCAAGGTGTTGGATAGCTTATGATTTGAAAACCTTAACCAAAGTTGCCAATTCCACTCATGTGGGTTACATCAAGGCTCCTAATCATTAATATATAAGAGCTGGAATTTTCTTTTTCTTTTTCGATAATTTATGTTTCCTAGAAGTTGCTCTGTTTCTTTCTTTGGCTGAACTTTTAATAAAACTACGGTGATGAACTGTTGTGCATAACTTAAATTATCAGATTGGGAATTAAAATAGTGGCTCATTAATTTTGTTTTGTTTTTCATGATTAAATCATATGATGATCTACTATTTCTGGATCTTCGCCCATCTTAAAAGGAATTGAAGATTGCATTATCTAGAAACAATGTCCCAGAATAGCAAATTTTATTGCTGTAGGACATGTCAAGAAAGGAGGGTTGGTGCCTTTTAATTTAGTGAACTCGATCGACAACTTGATGATGTTGAAGCATCTTTCAAGAACAATACTTTATGCCTTATATTATTATTGTTTTTTTTATTTTTTGGTGAAGATTGGGTTGGTTGAAGCAAATCGATGTTCCACTTCAAAACCAATTATTGCGGACAACTCTATGATGCAGTACCATCTATCGACTGTCTAAAAATATATCTCTCACTTTTTAGATTTTCTGTGGATAATTTCTGTTTTTTGATTATTTTTTTCTGAGTCAGAGGAATAACTTCGGTTAGATAGATTCACCCAACTGGGGAGGCAATATTGACTGAAGTTTGGTACACAGAAAATTTATTGCAGTGTGCTAGCTGGAGCTGGTGCGTAGATGGAGTCTTTTATCTTATCTAATATCTACTCTCATCACATCCTCAAGTTGCCTCAAACATTTTGAAACCATTCTATCTACATTGTCGGAATGGTCGTACAATACTTGTACGGAAATGTCAATTGGCATTGGTCAAGGTTGGCGTCTCATCTAGATGATGAGATATTATGAATAGAGATGTTTGCTCAAACTCTTCTACAACATAAACCAAGCTAAAAGTATACATCCCCCCAGCATTCACCATGCCATTCCTGCCAAAGATAGTGTAATTGAGAGAGTAGGGAATGTGAAATGAGAGAGATATTGCAGAGAATGCAAATCAGAAATTATCTATTACTAACATAGAGTGATTGATATATACAATTGTTCCTAACTAATTATTAGTTACAAACAATACACAAAACATGGAGGGAAACATGGAGAGTTTCCATCCCTAAAACATGGAAATGAAAACAAGGAAAAGTAGGAGAGGTGGTAGACAAGCCTTTTAGGGATGTCTATGTCTTGTCTTTGTCTTAACTAACACTCCCCCTCAAGTTGGTGCAAAGATATCACGCATGCCCAACTTGTCAAGTGAGTCATAAAAAACTTTACTTGACACGGCCTTCGTCAGAATGTCGGCAAGTTGGCTTTCCGAGTTTACAAACGGAAACTTAATTATACCCCTTTCTAGTTTCTCTTTTATGAAGTGTCGGTCGACTTCCACATGTTTGGTACGGTTGTGTTGTACTGGGTTATGTGCTATCTCGATAGCAGCTTTATTGTCACAGTACAATTTTGTAGCCTTTAATGGTTTAACTCCAAGGTCCTTCAGTAATTTCCGTAACCAGAGCAATTCACACACTCCTTGAGCCATTCCCCTAAATTCTGCTTCAGCACTTGATCTAGCCACAACTCTTTGCTTCTTACTCCTCCAAGTAACTAAGTTGCCCCCACAAATGTAAAATATCCAGAAGTAGACCGTCTATCTGTGATGGAACCTGCCCAATCCGCATCTGTGTATCCTTCTAGGTCCATAGGTGTATGTTTGGAGAACATCAACCCTTTTGCAGGAGCAGCCTTCAAGTACCTCATAATCCGTGTTACTGCATTCATATGCGCCTCACTTGGTTGATGCATAAACTGACTTACCATACTCACAGCATAAGCTATGTCGGGGCGTGTGTGTGATAGATAAATCAGTCGCCCAACCAATCTTTGATACCTTTCTTTGTCAGTAGGTACTTGATCTGGATACATCCGTAACTTGTGGTTCTGCTCAATAGGTGTGTCAGCTGGCTTACAATCAAGCATTCCAGTTTCTGTTAACAAATCTAACACATATTTTCGTTGGGATAGAAATATGCCATGTTTTGATCTAGCAACTTCTATGCCAAGAAAATATTGTAGCTCACCCAATTCCTTCATCTCAAATTTACTAGCAAGGAGCTTCTGCAGATTCTTCATTTCTCCATTGTCATTACCGGTAACCACCATATCATCAACATAGATGATGAGGGCCGTAAGTTTGTCACCACAACGCTTTAAGAATAAAGTGTGATCCGAGTTGCTCTGAGAGTACCCAAAGCGCTTCATGGAATCTGTGAATTTTCCAAACCAGGCTCGTGGTGACTGCTTTAGCCCATATAATGATTTTCTCAGCTTGCAAACAGTGTTGGGACCGAATGTCATAGAGGTCC